GAGCAGTTATCATTTCATTCCGATTATTTCGTATTCTTTTGTTAGTGGAAGTGTTATGAGACTACTGTGGGAACTCATACTCTCAGTACCATTTGACCATGCTTAGATTAGTTTCTTTAGGCAGAAAACTGAGCGTTGTGTAATTGTCATAGTTTATCAATTTGTTGCTTTAGTTGTATCACTTTAAAGACTAGTATCGATGATATCGATATTGTGGTGCTAGTGCTGAGTAGCTATACAGTGTATGCACACTAGACACTAATTGATATGCGGTCACTGCACCATTGCCAGCCCTGGGTGGGACAGCCACAAATTCCAAGTTTGGGGTAGAGTGATTAACTCCACATGTCACTTTTGTTTCAGGGGTCAAACAAGATTTGTTATAATTAATTTCAAATCCAAGATTTTGGGGTATGTTTATCACGAAATTAGTGTTTGTGGTGCTTTCTTCTTTTGAAGAAGACATGATGAGGATGTCATCTAAATAAATGACCAAGCGAATACATGTACCTCGACTGCTCGCTGATGCTACTATAGGTTTCATAACCTTAGTAAAAATTCTAGGGGCTGATGATAAGCCAAATGGTAGGCAAATAAAGCAAACACATTTTTACCGCCCAAGAGAATCAAAGATAAGGTTGATCCTTCTCACACATTGGAATAGAAAAATAAGCATATTTCAGGTCAATTGACGTGAGAAAGTCATTAACTTGAATTAGGTTTTTCACGAGCTTGATATTTTCCATTTTGAAGTGCTCGTACGACACAAATTTGTTAAGATCTTTCAAATTAATAAATGGTCTCAATCCACCTGTCTTTTTCACTATCAGAAAAGTCTTCGACAGAAACTGGCATTCCGCCAGAGAAACTTCTCTGATTGCACCTTTGTGCAGTTCACTTATCTCAGTATTGATCACAAGTGATTCTTGATCACAGAAGGATTTCTTTTGAGGTTTTGAATAGGACAGCTCAAGAAATCAATTTTACAACCTGATATGGTGTTTAGAATCCACCTATCAGAAGTCATTTGAGACCAATCGCCCTTGTGTAATTTTAGTCTCCCGGCTTGCCAATGGAGAGGATAGTAGGTCTGATTTTACATACCCGTTTTTTTTGCGGACGAGCCTTTGCCTGTTCTCTGTTGGTTATAAGGCACATAACGGCGATAGGAAGACTGATTTTTCCTCTCGTCTGAGGTCAATTTTTTGCCTGCTTTGTAGGCTTCATCAGCTACCTGTTTCATTGTATTATTCATGTCTTTCCCAAACAACATTTCTGAGACGGGAGTATTGCGGGAACACAGTTCATAAGAGGCGTTCCCTGCAAGGGTAATGCCATCTAAAGCAAGTTCCTTTAACTTGTCAATGTTCACAACTTAGCCTGACTTTGTTGCATCACGCAATTCAGTCAACATTTTGCAGTAAGGAAGCAAACCTTTGATAACTTGTTTTTGGATTTTCTGTAAGATCACGTCCTTGGATCTAGCTGAGGCGGGGATGGTTCCCCAAAGTTCACTGTCTATTCTGGGTGCCGACACAGCTACCGCATTTGACGGTGTAACGTATTTTTCTGCAATTTTTGCATACGTCTCTTTCTTGATTGGCAAAGTTACCGCTTTTACAGCTCTTTCTGCTAGGTTGCTAAATATCTCGGGGCTAATTAGCCTCACTGTCATTGTAAATATCTTCACTTGGAAGAACGTCAAAATCAGCTTGCGCTGTAATGGCTTGGTTATCCGCCAGTACACTGGTCAGGTCAAACTCAGATTAGCTGGGTCGTATGCCACAGCTTCCTGGCTTAGTAGCTCGTCTACAAACTCTTTGTCGTATTGATCAATAGTCCACCTCAGTTTGAGGTCTCGGCTCATGAGCCGAGACCTCAAACTGGGGTGGACTACCAGCGGAGTTGCTGGGGCCGGCGTGCTTCGCACGTCCGGATAAGTCACGGGAATGAACCACTGATGCCAGCATCTCTTGCATGGCATTAACAGAAGTCGATAACTTCTGGATACCGTCGGCATTGGCCTGTAACCGAGCATCGATGTCCCGGCGAGAACTAGGCTTACCTTGGCCTGGTTGGGGTGATTTAATGTCGTCTTCGGACGAGTCAGTATTCATTATTGCAATGAACAAGGAGCTGAACTGTTCAGCTCTTTTCGCTATGCCTATCACACGAAGAAAAGAAAAGGGGTTTATATACCCATGCTACACTACCTCATTTGAATTACTATAGATTCATTGAATGTATTGTGTGATCCGCATGCCTGGCACCTGAAAGGAATGCATACCCTCTGAAGACTTGTACGAAGTGTTATGTAATAGAATTTAGATGTAGGACTACATCTTTATATATAAGAGAGAGTTTAACTCGGCCTCCGAGACGATGTTTGCTCATGAAAGGATCCGAGACCGCGGGCTCCCGCGGCGCCAAAATCGCTCCACGTCCGTGGAAAAATACGGAGGGTGTCTTCCGCCGGGTCGGACACTTTGGGTCGTCCTGATTTTCCCGTACGGACCGGCGATCCTTTTCGTCTATTTTTCGTGACTGCATTTTGCACAGGAATTTTCCGTCGTGTGCGCTTTCACGTTGACTGCCTGGCCGCCCCCTGTGCTGGCTTTTCTGCGAGTCTAGACTGTGCGAGGTCAGCGAGGTCAACGTAGGGGTTTTGTTTACGTGTTCTACTCGGCCGTTCTGCCAAAGCGTTCACCAAATTGTGGTATGGGGTGACCTTGGTAAAATATTTTTTCACCATGGTGCGTGGCCACCGAGTGCCCCTATTCTTTCATATGCTTCGCTTGCCGCCCCTGCGCCGAGTGCAACGAATACTCAGAAGGACTACACATTAAGTATGCCTTGCGCGGTCTGACCAATCGAAAGTCTACACTGCGTAGTATTTCCGGGCTATGCAAAACTGTCGATGGCAACGCGTACTGCGGCCTGCTCCACACCCTGGAAACGAGGTTGGGTCTACGTGCTCGCTATTTGCATGATTTGAAGCACAAGCATGTGAGTGACGTGTATAGTGCTCTGTTGCTTCCATCATGTGTTAATACAGCTCCATGCTTCCACCAAGGCTGAGCGTTGTGAGTTCGCTGCCCGCCACATGTGTTGCGTTATAATTTCGGGGGCCTGTCTGGGATCAACGAAGGATCGATGCATTGCTTCAAACATCGCGATCTCAAACGCAGTCACACAAAAAATCAACGAAAATGTGTCCGATCCGGCGGAAGACACCCTCCACATTTTCCCACGGACGTGGAGCGATTTTGGCGTCGCGAAAGACCGCGGTCTCAGATCGTTTTCAGGAGCACACATTTCTCGGAGGCCGAGTAAAATTTGCTCTTATATAGATGGTTGACCCAAGTTGAATAACAGTTGACTCGCCAAGTTCCTCGCAGACAGTCTCGCAAATTGTAAGACGTTCAAGTTTACGTTTGTTGAAGAGTCCAATATACTGAAACTTAATTATGACCTTCTTAATCAGCCTTCGCCTGTGTACTACGGCAAGCCTTTCAAGTACGTTTTCTCACAAATGCCACTGCCTCACAAAATGCCAATTTAACAGACCAACGGGAACATTTACAGACTGTTGCCATGGTACATAATTATCATGGGCGTCAATCGGTGGGGGACGGGGAACCCCTCCACCCCCCCCCCCCCCATTTTAAAGTGGTGGAGACTTTTTGGGTCCCCTCCCCCCCCCCCCCCCCCACTTTTCTTCCCCAAATAACAATTGTAGCTACTACATGTATAATGATTCTATTAGTACTCAGAATAGCTGATTCAATGACACCAAACTCGAAAATGATGTTTAAAAGATGATCTTTTGCTAAAAAAAAATTGTTTTAGTGGTCAGAAATTGCCTCAGATCGCACACACAGAAATTGCTTTTCTATAACTGCATGTCTTCTCAACTAAATCCCCCAATTACATTCATCTCCCCACATTTTCATCCCCAACTCTACGCCCTATCCGATCTATGATCGGGTAAATCAACGAGGTATGGATGCATTGCTTCAAATATTGTGATCTTTGAACTATGTTGGGTTGGAATAACGATGAGTGCATAAATAATAATATTGGCGGTTGTTGGCTGTTTGGCCTTGCTTATATTATGGTTGAACCATGCCAACTTGAATAAAATAGTTAAATCGACTTTTTCCTCGCAGGTCTCGCAAATTGTAAGAAGTTCAAGTTTACGTTTGTTGAAGAGTCCAATACTGTACCTTCATAATGACCTTCCTCCATGATTCAGACTATGTAATTTTATGGTAACACACTCAACATTTCTATTGCAAATGCCACCTTCACGTTTTATTCCATTATGATTTATTGTCAAAACAGTACAATCAGCCTTCGCCTGTGTACTATACGGTAAGTCTTTCAACTCAGTTTTCCCACATTAACAAACGCGACTGCCTCACAAAATGCAACAGACCAACGGGAAAATTTACAGACAGTTATACATGCCATGGTACATAATTATCATGGGCGCGGCGTCAATCGGTGGGGACGGGGGACCCCCACCCCAACATTTAAAAGCGGGCACTGAATATCGTTTGGTTCCCTACCGCCACTTTTTCTTCCCCGAATAAAAATTGTAGCCTACATAATATTCTTTTGCTCAGAACAGCTGATTCAATGACTCCAAACTCGAAAATGATGTTTAAAAGATGATCTTTTGTTTTACTATATCATACGTGGTCAGAAATTGCCTCAGATCGCGTCACCGTAAATTGCTTTTCTATAGCTACATGTCTTCTCAACTAAATCCCCCATTAACATTTAACTCCCCACACTTTCAACCCCAACACAAATACGCCCTACCCGATCTATGATCGGGTAAATCAGCTTGTGTATACATAATATTCACGTGATGGCGGTGTCACGTAACTGCGAGATGTGTTATGTATATATCATGTCCATGCCCACCCGTACCCCTTCTAAAACCTTTGAGCAAGAAAGTCAACCACCGCGCACCCTGTTCCTAAACCAAATAGTCCCGGACTATGAGCGGGGCGGTGAGCAACAGTCTGGAGGGGCCGGACGGCGGAAGGCCCGGCTGGGTCGCGGTCCTCGCGCTCTGGACCAACAACCTCATGGTGATCGGCATTACCAAAGGTCTCGGGATAATGCTGCCGATTTTGCAAATCCAACTGACCTCCCAAATGTGGATTCTCGGCTGGATAGCGTCACTGACGATCGCAACAAGTGGATTCGTAGGTAACACTGACAGTATTTTTCTAAACTGCAATTTAATTCAACTGTGTGTATTATATTTATGGCGTTGCGAAGAAGCGCATGCATGGCTGTTGTACTGTATTAAAATTGACTGAGCGTTTTCATGCGTATATCAATTACTCATCTGCATGACTGTAAGCCACTATTTAAATGTTATAATTGTTGGTTGTAATGCAACCCAGACTACATGTGAATATGATACTTTGAAAATATAATTATGATTTTAATTTTCTCCATGCATCGTTTCAAATGGGTCCCTTCAGCAATACCATTTTCATTTTATTTCACAGTCATTATTTTACAATTGAATTCACATAAATGTTGAAATTGTGTGAACTGATATACGTGCGGAAAGTAAACTGCAAGATTATTATTATTTCTTCGGTGATCTGGTCACAACATAATTTACTATTATGACAAGTTGATAATATTACTCTTAATTTACTACAGACATCATCATTGTGCCCAAAACGCAATATAGCCGAACAGAATTTTCACTGTATGGTATCCTACTTCATTGTTATCCTACTTATTATAATTGTTATCCAACTTCATTCGCATCTAGAAACAAGGATGTTCCATCCTTTGATCAACTCAAAATCAAATATTTACGTCTCCACAGCTCCTTTCGGAGGATTAGTGAGCAGGCGCTTTGGGGCTGGTTACGCCATGATGACGTGTGGCGTGATGATGAGTGCAGCGGCCATTGCCGGATCGTTCGTCGAGAACTCTCTGCAACTGGCGTTGCTGTATACGTTACTGGCAGGTTGTATTCAAAAACATTGAAAAACAACGATTTCAACTTCATTGAATTTCAACATGAAATGTATCGGTTTTCCCGATAATTTAACACTCGTAGCAAACAGATTCTATCGCAGAGATACTCCAGCTTCTTTCCAGTCATCATTGAGCTTATCAATCTAATGTTAATTAAAATGTTAAATAATATTTCCATCGAATTTGTTTTAATATAGGTTTTCCCGGCCAATTTCCTAAAATGTTCAATCACTTCTGAAATCGGTCAACCATTTTCGTCTGAAATTGAGAATCGCTCTGAACTCGCTCTGTTTAATTTTCGTATTTCGTCTTGAAAATTCATGATCCTGCATACCCCATTTTCAATTACGTCTTTGGCCGCTCATTTTCGCGCGCTCATTTTCGCCATACTTTTTCGTGAAAGACAATTAAATTTCGTCGTCTGCAATTGCTGAACGTGCGATAGATGAATCGGTTCCGTCAATTTGCAGTCAATGTTATATACATTTCATTCAAATTCATCTCATAATTGAAGGCCATCCTCCGTATTTTTACGTTTTCATCTGTTCATTTCTACATATTTACTTTATTTTTTGTGTGTCTGTTAGTCTCCTTGTGTAACGTAGGTCTTTCAACCTTAAATAAGCATTTTTTCATGTAACAAATATTATGCAAAACTGTAATCTTTTTCAATAATTATTTAGTACGTTGACAATTTTATGTGTCAACAACTGAAAGAAATAGGGTATACACAGTCAAATAAAATTGCGTATTTTCCATATCATGCAAGAAATAAGTAGGCCTATAATTATTTATTATGAAAAGCAAACTTCTTTCATTTTTCACATCTTCGAAAACAGTCATTCAAGTTCTTCTTCTTGTTCTTTGGATTGGTTGTTAAAACCTACAATTTATTGTCTTGCAATACACCTTGCCAAAAAACGTCTGTGTGTGGTATACCAGCGTGCGCATTGTCTGATGAATTTGATCGAACATTTCTTGAAATCGATTGAACAAAGACGAATTCAATCCTTACATTATGTACATGGTCATCAGGTGACACGAATTTCATTGAAATTTGACATCGAATGGACAAATGTTCAAATTGATCAATTGGAAAGACCAACGACAAACGCGTTTCCAGTCTTCAGGAGACGAAATTGAGGTTAACCGTTTATGAATTGGAATGAATTAAGTTTCAAAATGTGCAGGAAAACCTATGTATAAAGCAATGTACATAATCGGGTTTACAATGAGACATTTGTATATGTGAGATATTAGTTTCTAGTTTTTGGCAATTAACGTAGATCAAGTAAAGGGCCCATGTCTTCACAACAGATGAGGAAAACTATAGACATTGCCAAACTTGTCTTTGATGTATACTTTTTATATTATATCTTTGAAGGTACTGCCATAGGTATATCGAGTGTCGTTGCAAAGGAGGCTGTCGGACGCTGTTTTACCAAGAACTACGCCACAGCAATGGCATCGCACGGACCGGCTTCTCCGTGGGACTGATCGTCTTCGCGCCCCTGATCCAGCTTTTCT